AGTAAGAGGGCTTACCTGATCATCATTCTCTCAAACCACTGCTCCATATCCAGAAATACAATCGGCCCAACACATAGCAGCCCCAGAGAGGAGCAAGAAGTCCCTTTTGTACTGAGGGAAGTTTTTGTTCCCTACATTAACTGCCAGAGCTAAAATAGCCCAAACTGCACCCTCAATTCCTAAAACTGAGGTTCCAATAATAATCTCACTCAGATTCTGGAAACCAGTGTTTGTGGGGGCCCAGAATACTAAGAAGCATCTCCTGCTATTTATACAAGTGACTAATTTCTCTACTCAGCACTCTGCCAGGTTGTTGCCGTGGTTAATTCCTTTTGATGAGCTAGCACTCCTTCACCCACACTATTCCTATCTGATACTTAACTGTTCACCTCACTTTAGGCCGGCGACAAAATTCTGCTCAATTGGTATCTGCACTTATTTTGTAAAAGGTTAGAAAACAGAATACTATGGCACAAGTAGTTAATTGAATCCCAGGTCATGATCTGGCTTTGCAGGCTTCAATTTCAGCTATTATAGATAAGTTGCAATTGTTAACACTCAGTCAACTGAAATTATCCAAGGAATTGAGCATAGCAACCAGTGTGTGCATGGCACATGCAGTCTGGCTTTACTGAACCTAGAAGTGCTGTGCTGGCATACTGGAAAGCATTTGAGGAGGCTAGGCATATGTCACAGGGGCCATCCCCTGTATGGATGGCAAACAGTGCTGAAACTCTCAGCCACTATCTTTGGATAGTCAGTCTCAAGCCTTGGCCCGCTGAAATGCTTGAGCTAATAATCATGCATCACAGCCGTGTGGCTGCCACCAGGAGAAATTGCCATTGTCTTTGAAAGCCTCTGAAAATAATTAAAATCACACATATGGAGAATGGTAGGCATCAAAATTAAAAGGAAAGGTCAAGAAGAATAAATTTCATATTTCCAAAGACCTCAAAAATCTCTAAAATAAAACTCGGGGAAAAAAGCATATGTGTGGTCCATTTCCTAAGTACAGTGAAAGAGCTATTGAGATGGATGGCGTGCCTCTCCCTATCACTACAGTGAAAACATGACACTTGGGTTTCCAGTCCCTCTAAGATGACAGCATCTGGGCCTAGCACACCGTCAAATTCTATTAACAGGAGCATTTTTTAAAGTTAAGTCAACGACTGACTCTTTTATTGCATCTGGCTCAACATTTGTAAACAGCATCTTTCGCAGGGAATTAAGCCAACATCATTTTGTAAAAGGGGACAGTTCAGTACTTCTTGAGGTATGGCCCTCTGAACCATTTTCATCAAAATCCTTGATTAAGTGTTTACATAGACTCCAAGAACCTCCAGAATTATCAAAAAGAAGCACCATTCATATTGAGCATACAATAGACATTAATATTCAACACCCGTTTTGTGAAACACCCTTTTCCCTTCTGCTCTCTTCTATTTCATGCTTTACACTGCTGGTCTTAGACCTACTAAATTGGCATCATGGCCTCCTCCTGGGTTATAACCTTAATCTTAAAAAGCACAGGTCTCCTTGACTAGAAGGAAGCAGAACAGTAATTGCAAAATTAGCAGCAAACACTTCAGGCTTTGTGATACCGAGAGGGTTTAGTATTTCCCCCACCTTTTTCAAATTCAATAGGATGTCTTATAAACGAACTCTATCTACTTGGATGGCTGTAGGCATTAAAGAGTGGTTGCAGGCTTCACTTACAAACCATAATGGTACCCACTGTCTGAGATCTGGACAGGAAATGTTACCTCCATAGGAATGATCATCTCTAAGCCTCCAGCCTTAGGCAAAGATGGGAGTAAGCAAAGTGTGTGCTCAGTGCAGCTCCTTGTCACACCCCCAGCCACATCCTCTAGGCAAGGGCTTCAAAGCCCTCTCTTCCTTCACCTCTCCCCACCCATTCACACCAAACACCCAAAGGAGGTAAATTACATGAAAACACTTAAGCACTGGCTTTTCTTCAATACTGTAATTTCATAAATGTTTATGATGTAGCAGCACTCCCAGAAGCCACCGTCAGCTTTCTCTCTTCCGTTTTTCTTCTCCTAGGTACGTTTTTCTCTTCTCCCCTGCATGTGCCACCCCAGCTTCTTCGGCCTCCCTCACCGCCCCCTCTCCTCTGCCTTCACTTGCATTTTCTAGGAGAGTGTGCTGGGACCCAGTTTACGTCTCTGACTTCACACCATTGACAATGCTCCTCCAAGGGGAGTTTTCTTGGGCTAAAGCAACACAGACTTTGAAAAGATTTTCCCCCAAGGAGAGGGATAAAATACCAGCTCAGGAGTGGGGATGTGTTTTTAATAAAGTGCGCTGGTTTTCTACTTTTTGCAAGGAAATCACCCCTCTGCTTCCCTTCTTCAGTCTGAAATTCTAAGGGAGGAGGATACCTACCCAAGGCAGAAAGCAGTCTAAAAGAAAGAGTGGCTAAACATGGAGGAGAAGATGCTGAGGAAACGCGAAACCCTGGGCTTTGCACTTGCCACAGATGCAGAAACACTTTCTTTGTATATTTCCTTGGCAGGCCTCACCCAACTTGGGTATTTCTCATTCAGTCAGCAAACATTTACTGAGCACCTACTATGTGCTAGGAATCAAGCGAAATATTGAAGTTGTCAACAAGAGATAAACCATAATCAAATAAACAGATGAAAATATGATCTAATGAGTAGAAAAATGCTAAGAGAAATACGTTAGAAACATAAAAGGACCAAGGAGGGCTTGGCTGTTATTTTATATGGAGTAGTCAGGGAAATGCGGGTAAGCTGACACAAGTGGGCAGAGACCTGAAGGAAGCAAGGGAGTGAGTCATCTAGACCTGCAGGAGAAATCCTGTGCAAAAGAAACAGTGTGTGCAAAGGCCCTGGGGACAGAACTCTGAAAAAGAAGAATGTAAGGTCCTCAGAATGGCTGCAGTCAACAAGGACATTGTGCGTGTTCTGGGGGACATGGCCATCCATCAGAAGGACCACCCATCCGATGACTCAATGACTGCTCCAAGTCCTGAGTTTCCTCAGTCATATCTGGGCCTACCCTCTCAGCCTGACCCCTTCCTGACACATACCAAGCTTCCTGTTCCCCAGTTCCCTTCCCTCCTGACACCTCTCCCACTCCAGTTCCAACACTTTGAGTTATTCCCTCACAATTTACCAGGTCACATTTAACTGAACAAAAACAAACCAACAAACAAAAACCTGAGTAATAAATGTAGTAGAAAAGAAGGTCACATGCACACTTAACCACAGCTTTCAATTGATAGGAAATGTACCACAGGAAAGAGCAAGGATCAAATGGTAGCTATAAAAGAAAGAGAGTGAGAGAGTAGGGGGGAGAACAATTAAGTCTGGTGATAGGCCTGCAGGGGCTCGGACCTCCTGATTTACTAGGATCCAAGTTCTATAAACCAGGGAACTATAATCCTTGAAACAACCTTGGGAAACAGGTATGGAGGTGGGACCATACGAAAAACCATAACCAGAGGAGACCTTCATAATAGATGTTGCCAGTCTTTGTAATCTAAAACTGTGAATGGACAAGTCTGTCTAGTACCCAAGATGCTCTCAAATATTTGGAATTTGAATACAAGTTATTAGTGAATTTTATTTTATATAAGTTAAAAAAAATCAAGAATTCTCCCATAGTCCCTCCTACCATACCCCCAAGTCACTGGCAGCTCCAGACTGGGGGCCTTTGGTTCTAGGAACACAAAAGTCATCTTAGGTTCTCCAAAATCTTAACTGTGATCAGTTAGGTCCACATAAGCCCTGACCAGTAGTGGGAGGCCCAGGATGCATCACAAACTGTGTTGAGCAAGCCTCGGGAGCTGTCCAGAGGCCCTTGGAGCTACCCTACTGGGGGAGACAGAGGGGGCGGGGCGGACTAAACCCTGTAGCTTTTCATCAAAGCAGGTCCAGCCGCCAACAACTCCTCCCCAGCTGCCAACTTCAAATGGCCCTCAGATGGGAAAGAGCCAGTGGAGCTGGAGTCCCTACTGCCCAGATCTCGCAGTCGAGGACGGACACACACACACACACACACACACACACACACACACACGCCGCCTCGCGCGCGCCAGCGGTATAGCACGGACTTCCCAGCCCCAAACACACAACGCGCACCCCCGGGACGACTGAGTTCTGTACTTCCTCTTCCTCAAAGCTACTCTGGGAGGTCGAGGCTGCCCCTCTCCGCTCTGATTCCAGGGGTCCCGTGCTCTGGTGCCCCGCTTCTCTGTGGGAGCTCCGGGTGCGTCCCCTCTCCCATACCAAGATCTCTATCGAAACCCCTTGCCGCCTTTCCGGGTCCTCAGTGTGTCCCTAGGAGGCGGGTATTTACTAACAAACACCCCCCAGGAATCCCAGCTGCCCAAATCACCTCCTCTCGCCACCCTGAGAGCCCCCCATCCATCTAGCCCATCACCGCTAGCTCCCAGGAACGTGCTGGCCAGAGGATTCCCTCCCATCTGCGATGGCCGGAGAAAACCCCAGAGTCCGAGCCGCCAGCCGCCGTCTCGGGCGCAGACTCTCCAGTCTCCGGCCCCAGGAATCTAGACTCCAGGCTCCCAACCCACACTCTTCTGTCCCCAACATCCCAACGCGCCAACCGCCAAGCCCTCCTGCTCTCTCCTCCAGCCGACCCCAATCCAAACGTCTCCGCTCTTCTCGGAGCCCGGGCCCTGCGCTCCATCCTCCGGCGCCGCACCCCCAGAGCCCTCTCCCTCTGTTCCCACCGCCATTCGGACCACCCGCTCTGCCCAGACTTCCCCAACTGCAGAGCGCCCAGACGCGCCGGCAGCCCTCACCCAGCCTAGCGCGGTGGCCACCCCCGCCCGAGCCGTGGCGCCCCCAGGGAGGAAACAAAAGTGTCTCCGCGGCGCCCAGAGTCCTCGGAGCAGGACGCCTCCTCCCCGCCCCAGTCCCAACCCCCTCCCGGGCCGCGCTGAGGTCAGCGAGTCGGGGCGCTGAGCCAGCCCAGGAAACTTTACGAACCTGCCCGGGGTCGCAGGACAGCGGCGGGAGCTTCTGGCTATTAGAGCTCTGACGACCCGCGACCATTGAAGGGAAAATCCGAGGCTCTGTTGCCCAGCTCTGGGCTGCGGCGGTGTGGGTGGCTCTGCCTCTATCCCGTGCCCATCCTCGCCCGCTCCCGCTCGCCCAAACACACGCACTTACACTCTGGGTCGGCCGGCTGCTGCGCTGCCGGCTGCCGCTGCTCTCACTTCCTCTTCCTTCCTCCTGCTGGCCAGAGACACATTTTGCATCTGCAAGGCATCCCGAGAGCAGCCGCGAACTCTCCTCCCGAACGGACGCTGCGGAGTTGCCGCCGCCGCCGCCCCCGGCACCTGCGCCGGGACTAGAGTGGTTGGCGCGTTCTCCTCCCGCCCGCGCCCTGCTGCCTGCCCACCGCACTTTGTTTAGGAGGGGTTGCCCACGACTTTATGAAGTCCCCCTACTTCAAGAGGGAAATGTCAAACACCATGCACGCCTCATATCTGCTATAAATAATGTGTGTGCAGAACATGACTTCTCCGATGAGCTCACACACGGTGTTTTGCAGGCACTAATTAACTCCGTCACCCTCGTAGCGCCACCTCCGGGAGGCCAAAAGCGCGTGGCATCTTTTTATATGCTTTCCCTTTTGGCAAGTAGTTTGGGATTTTAAGGGGGGAAACTTCGGTGGGCTCTTTTGAGGCTACTTTAAAAGGTTGGGCACATTTGCCTTTGTGCCTTGTTCTTGGGCAGTGTGGAAAAATAACCAATGTATTTACCTCCCCTATAATTTTAAACGACAAGGTTTCTTTCAATGAAGTCAGGGATTCCCTAATTTTAAATAACTTCGCAGAAAGCAAGACGTCCTACCCATAATTTGGTATTTAGGAGAAATTATTTAAGTCATGCAAACTACTTCATTTTCAAAGCAGAAATCGAACATGTTAAATCTCAGCTTTGCTGGCAGGAGATTGCAAGAAAAACACCTGTCCTCTCCAAATTCAGAAATCTCTGCTATAGCTTCACTGGAAAAGGCAGACAGTTGCTCTGCTTTCCCTTCTAACTGGAAAAGGAGAGAATTTGGGGAGCTGAGAGGCATCAGTATCTAATGTGGAAAGCAAAGCTCCCCTTTGAGATTCAGCCCCTTTCCAAGGAGATTAAAATTTTAACCCTATGTTGACTGTCCATTAGCAACACAAAACATTGTGAAGCCTTTGAAATGTGACTAGTATTGAGATGTTCCGTAGGTGTAAAATAGGCACAGGATTTAGTTCCAAGATCAAAATATAAAATAGTTTAATTATTTTTATATTCATTGAATTGTCTCAATGAATGATGAAACTATAGTTGACTTATTGGATATAGTAAGTCAATTCGGTTACTGTATCAGTTAAGATATGAATACACATATAATCCAAATTAATTTCTTTTTCAAACATTTTAATGTAGCTACTAGAAAAAGCCAGATTACACATATGGCTCTCATCAGTGGCTCACATTATACTCCTAATGAACAGCCCTGGTCCAACCCCTATTAGAGACATAACTCGGGGAGGCAGTATTAGTAGCAGGAATGCCTGGGTCCAGATGGTTATAAGCCAGTAACTTAAAGCAGGGTGATTCCAGGAAAGTAACTGAACTTCTCTATTCCATTGTCTATAAAACAGTAATGGTATAATAATAACAGTCAAAAGGGCAACTATTCAATGAGGTCATTTAATAAGCAATTACTAAGTAGAGACTTTAATAACGGTTCAATGAGATGCTTGTAGTGATGAGTATAAATTTGATCTACAACTTTCTAGCAGAGGCATATTAAGACCTTAACTTTGGTGCTGGTATCTAGAGCACTCAGTATGTGTGAGATGTCATAACTGTCCCCTCCTTGCACAACAATTAGATAAATGTAGTTCCCTATAACCTGTAGACCCAGGACTGCCCTCTACAGTTAATATAGAGTAGGTCACATCTTTGCTCCATGAGATAATTTTTTTTCAAATCTTTCAAGATAGTCCCAAAATTTACTGCAATATATCCTTCCAAGTTTTAAACATCTTTAGTTACTCTGAGTCTCCTCAATGTGAAATGATTTCAGATCTCTCTTATCTGATCCATCTTCCCCCTGAAGGACACTACATTCTGTCCTTAAACAAATTAGTTGTGTTCTAGATTAATCATCTAATTAGCCATTAACAAACAGAATACAGCTAGGCTCTTGTGAATTTTTTTCAAATGCATCTCATTGTTGATCCAAGTGGAAGAGGAAAATAGGAACTCCTTTGCTGTGTTACATTAAACCATATCCATTCTTGTGGAGCTGGTCTTTGGGACCCAAATCTACCTGGTCCAAGTTATCTAAGTCTCTATGGATTCAATTCAGGCAACTAATGTATCCCTGTAGCCAAAAATGAGTTAACAATTCTAGGATGCCTGTGAAACTCCATTAAGGACCCCCTAGGGCTCCCTCTGCCATGGCGTGGAACAGTATTCTTTGGTTTTCTGATTCGTTCTGTAATTAATAGCCCCCTTAACACTGTAATCTCCAGATCTCATTTTCCTATTGTATCCATGAAGACATTTTAGAGGCATTGTCAAGTGTCTTAGAGGAATCTACCTTCTTCCTGGGCCTACTGGTGTTCCAGAAGAGCCGCCATCTCTAGGTCTGGGTTGTCGGGTATAAATCCCAACATTGCCATTTATTAGCTGTGTTTTCCTCACAAATCACTCAGATCATGGGATTGAAACCTTAAGCTGGTAGGATTGATTAGTGGCTAAGTAAGTTAATTCATTATGAAGTTCTTAGAACAGGACTTAGCACATAAAAAATACTCAGTGACTGTCAGCTTAGGTATTACTATTATCTAATATCTACAACAGCCCTATAATCCATAAGTCATTTTAGGAGATTCAAAAAGAGAGGAGAGAGAAGGGGAGAGAAAGAGAGAGTGCTCGTGCATGCAACATCTACACCCCTTTTCCACAAACCAGCTTCTGCATATGGTGAAGGGAAACTGCTAATATTGCTGAACTTTTTCAGCTCCTGGTCAGAGATTGGGTCATTCAATCATTAGATCACACGTTAGCAGGAAGGAGGTCAATTCTATGACAAGGAACCAAATCCAACTGAAATCTTTATATATATATATATATATATATATATTTTAAATACTATATATATTTAGTTTTAGGTGGACACAATATCTTTATTTTTTATTTTTATGTGGGGCTGAGAATCGAACCCAGTGCGCCACACATGCTAGGCAAGCGCGCTACCACTTGAGCCACGTCCCCAGCCCCCAAGTGCAATCTTTCCTTTGCACTTCTTGTAAGCACACCTGGGGGTACCAATGGGCCAGTCTCACTGATGTCTCCAGTGGTTAGGGAGGTGAACTCAGGATCTCCTCCATAGACTCATTTCAGTCTCAGGATAAGTAGGAGAAAAGAGAATAGGGTAGGGACAGATGGCCAGAGAAGGAAACTCACTGAAGCATCAACCCTAAACTTCATTCCCCAACCATGCTTTTATAAAGGGCTTTGCATTGTTGGTGGATGGATAGGTGTTTGGGGGAGTTTCTCAGATTTAAATACCTTGAACTTATATTTTCCAGATTTTTATTCTTTGGTATGTGTTCAGAACTCCAAGATAGGAGGGGTGAGTGGGAGCTTATCAAAATGTCACGGTGAAACTTCTAAGTGCAAAAATGTCCTGTTGTATTTTTAATCAATGATGACTCATGTTGATCAACTCTTTCTTTTCTAAGTGCTCACAGACATTCATTTATAATCCATTAAATTAAAAAAAAAAAACATTTATTGGGCTTCAAATGGGCCTTGTGTAGTTAACAATACATTTAGTAATATGTTTTGGAATTCTATCCCAAATTTGCAATCAAATTCCTTGATCTATAGCTTGACAAATCTACTCCATTTTCCTATGTTAGAAACTAGTTCATACTGGTCTGCCTCCAGTCCTTACCAGTTCTGGGAACAGAGAGTATCTCCAGCTCAAGGAAGCCACTACCCCAGGGATAATGAGGTCTGGGTAATAGGCAAACACCTGTCATCTAGAGCCATCAAGCTCAGTGCTGGGGCAAGCACAAAGAGAGTCTGCTGTTTCTTCCCTGGGTTGTTCATTCATTTGTGCACACTGAGTACCTCTGAAGGTACTCTGCTTCCATGGTGAACAAGAAAGGCTTACCATGCACCCTCCCAGCACTTCCATTTTAGTAGCTAAGAAGACAGACTTTAAGTGAACATAGTAACAATTGAGGAGTATAATCAAGGAAGGGCAGAAGATTTCAATGTTAGAATCAGGGATACTGATCTCTTCTGCAAGTTAGGAAAAGCCTCTTAGGGAAGCTCCATTTGAATGGAGACCTGAAGGGTGAGTAAAAGGGTATGAGCTTCAAAAGGGGGAAATGAAATGGGTCCAGTAATAAGGGAGGGCATTAAACAAAGCCTCTTTGTATGAGGTCTATAGAAATAATAGTGTATAAGGAACCTTAACAAAATCAATGTGGCTCAAGTGTGAGAGGATCAAAATTAGATTATAAAAACAGTGGGTAAAAGTGCTCTTAGGAGCACTTGAGAGTCATTTCACAGAATTTGGCTATATTAACAATAACTGAAAGACATTGAAACTTTTTTTTGTTTGCTTTAGTTTGGTTTTGTCTTGTTTTCCATTGAAATGTTCTAAGCACGAGAGTCTCATGGTCACTTCTATTTCAGAAGTCATCCGACTGAATAGAGAATGGATTAAAAGGTAGACAAAACTCCATGTGGGAAGAACAGTATCTTATTCTGCTCAGGCTGCTATGCCAATCCCATAGACTGGCTGACAAACAATAGAAATTGATTTTTTATTTTATATATATATTTTTTTTACAGTTCAGGAAGCTGGAAGTCAGAGATCAGAAAGCCATCATGGTTGGGTTCTGGAGAGAGCTCTCTTCCTGGCTTGCAGACTGCTATCTTCTCTCTGTGTCCTCACATGGCACAGAAAGGAGAGAGAAAGAGAAACCATGAGGTCTCTAATAGCATGACCTCATCTAACTCTAATTACCTCCCAATGGCCCCATCTCCAAATACAATCATGTTGAGAGTTAGGGCTTCAGTGCATAAATTTGGGAAGGTGAACACAGACATTTGGTCCATAGCTCACAGGAAGTCAAGGTC